AATCATTTGCTTATTTTGGGAATTGATACACATTTTGTAGAGGTTTGTCTGGCAAATGGTTTAACAAACTTCAAGCCTATCATGATTTGAAGCTGTTGTAACAAATCAAAATTGCTTTGATGTTGCATAGTACCTTGTTGGAAAGACTGGAGCATGGTTCAAGATGATGTGTAAAAATTCAAGATTTGTGCAAAAGCTTATGACTGAAGAGCGAAAACAGTTCTATATGATGGCTCAATCAAATGTGGAAATGGACGACAAATGTAGAGTTTCAACATTCCAGCATTTGAGAATAACTTCAGAACTTCATAGTTCTTGTAGCATTGCATTCTTCTTTTGTACAGTTCTAGGTTTTGTTTGGGTATTTCAATTTCAATGTGTCAGTTGAGATATAGGTGGATTGCGGACAAATTTTAGAATCATTGCATGGTAGATAGGTACTTGTTCGGTAAAAAGGTATGTGATGAATGCCACAATAATTTTTTTATGATTAAATATATGTTCATTGTTGTACCTACAAAAATGCAAGCTTACTAGCACCTAGTTATTGAATCTAATCGAAAGTATTTGCTATGAATGTAAATATGTACCTGCAAAGTATGTCAATAAATTTGTGTGATGTTGACCAGAGAGCTGTATCATCTGGGCATTTATGTTGCTTCTTACATTAGGTGTTAAGCATAGTAATTATGGATGAACTTTGTGCCAATATCTTCAATTCACATTTCACAGTGTATGTAGCATGTCTATAACCCTCACTGATCCTGCTATAGCTATAGGCATTTGACTCCAGCAAGACCAAGGGCATCATGGCATGAACTTCACAGTTTCACAACCCTTTTCATGTACCACCACCAGTCACTCTTTTCCTAAAGGTGCACATGACAGTGTACACAATAATGTGCAGAGGGCTTATACAAAAACAACATGATTAGTGTGCACTATGATGCACAGCATTGTACCCTGATTATTTGAATATTCTGATCACTCAACAGTCAGGAGACCATTGTTGAATGTCACATTTATTATACATCACTTGTCAAACAAGAGCATGATGACACACATTTTGACAAGCAATCATGGTAATATTCCAATAAGTTGGACACATCCCTGGGCGTCATTTTCCAGGAAGGTACCTCTGCAGGTGTTGTGGTAGGTTAGGTTGAATTGGGTTAAGTTAGGTGAAGTAAGGCGGTTAGGATCAGCCTGGTCAGACCGTGAGACCTGGTCAGGTTGATTTTAATCTTTCATTCTAATTTGACATAGATACCTATTACCTATGTTCTTGCTCCAGATTGAACTTCATTAGGTAATGAGCTCATTTTGTTTTGTTTTTTATCTGTCTTATTTTGTGTTTTTGTCCCTTATGTTTTGCCCCATAGGCAAGGGTGGAGCTTTTCCAGGGAAGGTGGTGCTGGTGGGGCAAAATGCTGTCAAACCTGCTCGGTTGTTAAGTTAGATTATGTGCAACACTGAATCAATTATTTTAATTACAGAACTAACACTTTGAATTACACAGACATTTCAAAGCTCCTCAATGCGAACAACATAGTGGTTTGCTAAGCAACGAAGTTCTACAAACAAGCAAAAGTTGGAGGGGCAGAACGCTATTTTTTCTCTGACAGCTTCGTAACATGTTACGAAGGCACTAAAACTACTTCAGTACAGGGTGTAACGAAATTATCCGGACATCTATTTTTTCGCCATATCTGTTTGCACAGTTTCCTAATCCTTTCTGATGTTAGAAGTGAGAATATTGGATGAATACGTGCCTCTGCTATCTGTTTTCAACTCAGCAGTGACCTGGCCTTGTCATGTGACTGCTGCTCTGAGTAGGAGTCGATTCACAGACGGGTTCACATGGTAGTTTTCGTCCAAGGCAGTTGCGGGAAAGGGATATAATCTCTCCTTTCGTGGTAAAATTCATGGCGGCATCCACGGCGTCATGAGCCAGAAGCTGGTCTCAAGTGGTCTGCCAGCAGCTGGACATCAGCAGCAGCCAATTGCACATCTGCCTGAGGTGTAATAAGCTGGGACTTCGGTGGCAGACTCAGCCCGGTCGCGACCACAAAAGCCGCCCTTTATCAAGTGGTGAGGAGAGTCATCAAGATAGCGGCAAGGAAACGGCACCAATCAATCCGCAAATTGACTCGAATTCTTACCAAGTCAGATAATAAGAGATCCCATATCATGGTTTACCGCTACCCGCCCTTTAACTTGGTTCTAGTGCCCTTCCAACTGAAAAAGACAACGAAACTGACGGGAAAACAACCAGTTCACCACCTTTTGCCTCACGCCAGATCGCGTCCACTGGTCGAAGAATGATAAGGGTGAGGTGGTCTGGTTGGATGGGTAGCCGTTCGAGCTGTATTATCCTTTGAACCGTCAAATCGGTCATGTATGGGCGGCCAGCCGCTCGAACTTGCTGGCCTTCGCCGCCGTCAAACATCCGGACAATATCCAGAACTGGAGCATGTTCAGCTGCCTAGCGATCCTCCAATAGGACATAATGTCACATAATACCGCCATCAACGTCATGTATTACCGGAGAAACATACTGGCCAATGAATAGTCGGAGGCGCTCAACCAGACGGTATAGGAGGGCTCGGTTTCTTAACGCGCACTGATGCCTGATTCAAGCCACGCTGTCTTCATGCGGGGCGGCGCGCTACTTTAAGTCCCTAAAAGAACGGGAAGTGATGCCGATAGAACCTTCAATCATTCTGGGCTAACGCTTATGACTTGGAAAAAGTCGCAATCCCAATTCAATCGAAAACCTGTGGGCTCTTGTTCAGCAGGTGACTGAAGAGACGCCCGCCACAAGCACCGCCCAACCCGAAGGTTTAGACGGCGTTGGTCCGCATCAAAGCCAGTGTGCTGGAGAATCCATTGGCTGAAATGCTCCAATGACATTCGCCACTGTGTTTTTATGAAAGGTGGCTACATGCTCAGTCAAAATAAAAAGTATCAGAATGTTTTGCTTTTTAACCCTCGCATGTGTGCGGCGTTTTCCAGCTTCTAATGTGTAGGGGGGGGGGGGTCGGTTGGACCCCCCCCCTTGCCGTTTGGCCCCTGATCGAGCTAGAGCTTCGCGGAAAAAACGAGCGTGTTGCCCGTGACGAGAGGAAGCCAATGATACCCAATTTTAAGGTCCTAGGTCATTGGTTGACCTTCCAGGTCAGGTCAATGACCCAAAGTCGGGAAAATCGGGACCTATTAGAAAGTCGTAAAGTGTGGCTGCTAAGGGGTTTTTCGGGGTGCTGATCACGAATATCGTGTTAGTTTTGATCACAGATGATGTCTTTAAGCATTTAGACCAGGTCGGGTCAGGTCAGGTCAGGTCAATCAGTAGGCGTCGTGACGGGTATTCGTAGTACGTGTCAACCGCCTCTGACAGCTTCGTAACATGTTACGAAGGCACCAAAACTACTTCGTAAATGTTCAAATGGTTGCTAAATTCGAATTCAGCTCCAAAAACTAGCCTAGAAACATGTAAAACTCGAAAAAGTGAACCGAGGTCACCCGAGGTCACCAAAGGTCAATGACCTGACCTGACCTTCAGGTGACCTTGACACCCACCCTAATGCATGGGAGCAACATCAAATCACATGTTTGAACGTTTGAAACCACGAAAAGCTTGCAAACGCGCGGCTAATGCGAGCCGATGTACGCCGAATCGCGATTCCGGCCAAACATGGTCTCGGAAAAGAGGTCACAGGTCAAAGGTCATTTGGGTCAGGGTCATGAAATTTTCAGGGTAGGTGTCAAATTGATCAATGCGAGGGTACTGAAAGTTTCGTCGCGATCGGCCGCTTTTTACGCGAGTTATTCGCGAAAAACCATGGGGGGGTCCATCCGACCCCCCCCCCTACACATGCGAGGGTTAATTACAGCGGGAAGAAAGATGACCGGATAATTTTGTTACACCCCCTGTCATGTTCAAATGGTTGCTAAATTCGGAATCAGCTCCAAAAACTAGCCTAGAAACATGTTAAACTCGAAAAAGTGAACCGAGGTCATCAAAGGTCATTGTCATTGAGCTGACCTGACCTTCATGTGACACCCACCCTAATGCATGGGACCAGCATCATATCACATGTTTCAACGCTTGAAACCACGTAAAGACTGCAAACGCGCGGCTAATGCGAGCCGACATACGCCGAATCGCGATTCTGGCCAAACATGGTCTCGAGAAATAGGTCACAGGTCAAAGGTCATTTGGGTCAGGGTCATGAAATTTTCAGGGTAGAAGTAAAATTGATAAAATCGGGGGTATTGAAAGTTTCGTCGCGATCGGACGGTTTTTACGCGAGTTACTCACGAAAAACCGATGGGGTACGCTCAACGCCTCCCCCTATACGGGCGAGGGAAAAGCGCAACCAAAAAGGCAAAAATATGCACATGCGATAACCTATACTGCGAAAAAAGGTGCATCATTTTTTAACGTCGCCGACAAATTGTAACTACCCCAAGCTCAGGCAGATGTATGGTAGAAAATACCCCAACTGAAATACACTACGGCGGAAATAAAATACCCTACGGCGGAGCTCGGTTGCAATTTGTAAATACGCGTCCGGACGGAACGCACACGATTTCCTTACGGACCGGATGCGCCCATAGGGTTCTGTGTTAAATTCCGTACGGACCGCACGCGTTCCGCACAGTGGACGGCGGCCTTTAGTGTCTTTAATACTATGACAGCTTCGACCACGGACGTCGGACGGGGTGATCGTTCCACGAATGTACGCACCATCCAGGCCTAGGATGCATCGAGGTTTAAAAGAATGCAGTCTGTAGATCAATCAACATAACAATGGTGGTATGCAACCACATTAAAATATCTCCCGGCGGCTCCCGCAACGTTCCAACGCCCCTCCGTTATGCATTCGCCTTGTGTGTCCGCCGAGCCGGCTTGCCTCCAATGACGTCATCGGCCGGCCGGCGGCGTTCAAGGTCAAACGGCTGGTGTCCTTACCTGGAGTTCTATAGCCTTGAGTTTACGTTGGAGAGCCACGAATCGTGTGTGTTGAGCGGCGTGGGGTTCACGAAAACTGCGTGCATTTGTTTCTACGAGTGCTGCTTTTTGAGTGACGTGTGCTTCGTTGAAAATTGTAAGAAAGTGAGCATTCAGCAAGTTACGCAGGGGAAGTTTTAGGCATAAGGTTCTGCGTCAACGCCAGGCGAGACGCCATCACTGTCCTGCACGCCTCAACCGCACTCAATTGGTCTTATGCTCTGTTTCCAGCTATCAAAGGTAAGTAATACTGAGTTGATAATAAAAATCACTCTTAAATGTCTCACAATTTGAATGTGAAACTGATGAATTGAAGGGCTGAGGTCATGCTTGATTTCCAGTTTCAAGCGTATCTCAACGTTTCAAGATTTTGTCATTTATGGTTTGAAGAGTTTTGTTATCCTGTTAGCAATAGTTTTGTGAAACCCTGCTCTTTCATATCACAACCATACATGTCAATATCTGTATTCATTTCGTTACTTATTTCCAGATCCGCGTGAAGTGCCCACCGCCGACCGGCTGGGAAAGATGATTCAACTTGGACTCGTCCGCGGCGGGGGAGGCAGTTAGTGTCCAGCCGAACGTAAACATCCCGGCGGCGGGCGCGAGGGGCCGTCGGCCGGCGGCCGCCAGTGAGGGCCGTGTTTTGGTGATCGGTGCGCGGGGCGCGGGGTGCGTGCCGCGCAGTGCCGGGTCGCGGCAGTGGTACAGTGGTGCGGCCGCGGCGAACGATGACGGCGCGTCGCTGACCGGCCGTGCATGGTGTCCACTGGCTCGGTGGCCGGCCCCGCCCAGGCCCCGGACCATGCGCTGGCGGACCGCGGACCATGCGCGCCGCCCAGGGACCACAGCGCGCTCCTGATGGGTCGCCAGCAGAGCAGCAGTAAGTGTAAGTGAACACGCGGGGATCGGGGTGGCTCCCAGGACCACTCACGTGGCCCCTGGGGGGAGGGGGGGGGGGCAGGGCTGGGTATTTGCCTGTCATTTCGTCATTCTTAGTTCGTCATGGTCATGCTTATGCTTATTAGTGGGTGTGTTCAGTGGTCTGTTGTGTTGTGATTGGAGATGTGCTGTGCTGTGCTTTCTATGCACTGTGATATGCAACAGTTTCGGTTCAGTCGAAACCCAGCGTCCTAGGCTGGGTCCAGACGAGTCATTCCACTTCAGTGCCAAAATCAGAACGCAAACCGCGGATATCCCTGCAGCGAAATCGCTGCCTCTCAAAACAGACGCTTCACTGTCATCGCTGTGTGTTGTGATTCCATGAACCCCATCTGTACTTTATGAAGGGTGCGTAATGCATTTCCGGTGCATTGCCCTTTGAACCTGCCGCCCGGATGTTCGGTATGGCTCTCGATCAGATGGCGATGACTTCCTAACGCCTGTGGCGTGACACCTCGCCGCGTGCCGGAACTGGCGGACTTCCGGCGCCCCCTGCCAGGTGCCTGGGGGGGGGGGTGAGAAGGGGTGGCGTGGGTGGGAAGGGGGCTCCGATGCTGACCGAGGTCCCCTGTGGAGTGTGGCTTCATTCGGAAGGTAACCAGAGAGCCTGGCAGAAACTAGAAAGGGTTTCCCCTTGGATCTGTAATCTGTAGGGATTATAGATCCGAGTCTGATCCCAGGATAAATTTTTCACGCCGGGGATGGCTATTAGGGGCAGGGCACACAATATAAAACTAGTATAAGCTTAACTTCTTTCCAAAATATCCATATTTTGCAGAAGCAATGAATAACATCCTGTTTCATCATGTTCCGGTAGAGGCCGTCCCACACAATGGAAACTGACTAGAGACGACTCACTGTTGGCCAGGGCAGCTATTTCATTGGTTTATTGTTTCGCCCGCTGTTATTATTCGCTGCAGTTCATGCATTCATTCATGGAGGTCTGTACTGAAGGCGGACCTGAAACAGGAGCTATCGCCGGCAATCGTGGCTGACATGACATGCTCTGGTCGAGTCTTGGTGGCGTAGGTAGAGCCCGTGCCGTGACCGTATCTACAGATGTGGGCCAGCACAGCTCCGGTAGTCCCAATTCCGATGTCTGCCGTCTCACTCTGTCCCGTATCATCCCAGCTTTGCGGCGCATGCTGTCCCGTACTGTCCCATACCGTTAAACTCCAATTTATTTCATTCCATACCGTGCCATGCCGTCCCAACTCTTAACTAGTAGTGTGTGCCGTCCTAAATCGTCACAGCTGTGGCGTCCCAGAGATGTCTTCCGTCTGTTTGAGAGTATGCCTATTGCCTAACCAAGAAGGTAATAGGCGCGATCAAGACGGGAACGTCCACGGTTATGGATGCTCACGGTTGTGCCATCAGCTAAGTTTGGCATATCTGCTACTGCTTATCTATGTCTAAAGCAGGGGTGCGGAGCCGGAGCCGGAGCTGGAGCCGGAGCCGGCATATTTTGCCCGGAGCCGGAGCCGTGAAACAACATAGCCCGGAGCCGGAGCCGTAAAAAAGGGGGCGACTCTGGCTCTTTTTTGAAGAGGAAAAAATTATTGACCTAGTTCGGTTTTACAGTAGGTACAGTCTGTCTTAAAAGTACCGCGCAAAGTGACGGTGGATCCATCAAGCCTGACCGAGGAAGGGCCTGCTATAATTTGAAAGTCACCGAACCAATTGACCTGGGGAATGGACGAGAATGTCAATTGCTTTGGTGACTCAAATTTAGCAGGCCCTTCCTCGGTCAGGCTTGATGGATCCACCGTTACTTTGCGCGGTACTTTTAAGACAGACTGTACAAGGCAGTAAAACATGCGGTATTCAAAATAGCCTTGTTATGCAAATACAGAAGCAACGTGCACCAATCCAATCGCCTTTTTACTTCCTCCCGTATTTAATTAATCGCATAGGGGATGTACTGAGTAGGAGCCGGAGCCGGAGCCGGAGCCGTCTGAAATTTCCACGGCTCCGCATCCCTGGTCTTAAGCTGTGCTGGCGTGCTGCTTTGTTCGTTTTGCGACAGGGGACCATATTTTAATAAGGAACTCGGTATTAGGTTCATCTGAAAAGCCTAGCGCCCTTTCACGTTGCTCAGATACCTGATAGTGGAGTGGACCCGTTCGTCAACTCTCAGCGCAAAGCTCGCACTGCCATCCGACACTGGAGGCGCTCGCTTCCCGCCTAGTTTCAATGGTACTGCTGCAGTGCCGCAGTCATCCCGTCACTGTTGTTTGTTGTGATCCGGCCCGATCGCCGTGCGGACCTGGTGACCTTACCCACCCACTGTTTGTTCACCCCGCTCGGCATACCTACTCCGCCACTACTGAGGACCGGCGACCGTGACCTCTGACCTGCCCTCGTGCACTGCTTTCCTGTGTGTGGCGGCTCTCAGAAAACCGGCTGCGTAATTGTGTGCCGCCCTAAGCACGATGTCCCTGTGACGATGCTGGGGCGCCACGGCATGTTGTCCGCCACATTTCGCTGAAAACCACTCAGCCAGCCGGTACTTATATAACTTACTGTCATATTCGGCGTAAGATATTTTGAGTTTGGCTGCGTTGAATGTCTATTCGATTTCTCATCTACAAAAAAAAAAAACTAGAGGGGAAGGAGTGTAGTATGAGTAAGAGCGGAGACTTGAGAGCCTCCCCGGCGGAAATGTCCCGTCGACGGCGTCCGGCCGTCGCGTAGACCGTCGTTTGGGCGATGTGACACCTGTTGGTTCGCCATTATGGGCGGCGCGAGTCTGCGTCAGCTGTTATGGCCCGTACTGGCCCGCGTCGGCCGGTTCGGCGTCGGAAGTAGCGAGCCTGTTGCTCAAGTGGCTGTCACGAGGCTGAAAGGGGTGTGTGGGAGAGGGAATTCGGATCGGATCGTTGCAGGAATGCATGCGTGTGGTGCCACTGCAGTGGCACGTGTCATTCTGCGCTTTGCACGTGCTCTGTCGCGTCTATCAATGGATGCCTTTGGAGCTGCGCTAATCTCTTCTTGTTTTCAAGACCTTTGGCGTTGTGGTGTTTGGCTAAAGCTTCTTTGTTCCTTGGCATATCAACAGAGACATAACGTAGCTCCTTATGTAACGAAATCCGTATTATTCTTTCATTGCAATGTTACCACCAGCATTGAATTGGCCGTTAGCATTCAGTTCCTCCCCTGCCTTTCTGCAATGGTGGCATTATCTGCACAGGCCCGTCTCATGAAGTGCCTGTTCCGCCTGTCAATGTGGCCGGCTGGAATGTAATCGGGTCGTTTCCACTGGGAACGGCCGACTGCGGCTCTCACGTCGGTCCGTGACCTCTCGTACTGCGGCGTCTGGCCCCTGGAAGTGCTCTGAGGCGGTTTCGGCGCTCGTTTCTCTTCTCCGAGTAGGAGTGTCTGGTCTGACCAGTCTGCTTTGTGGACGCTCCCCCTCCCCCCCCCCCCGACCAGTGACGGACGGTGGTCACTGGTTTGGTCCGGTGACGAGGTTCTATTGACTAATGCCAGGAGATGATCATTACACCACCACAGGGCGTGTTCCTAGTTTCGTGCGCGGATGTCGACCCGAAAGATGACCGTGGCTTGCCGTCTCTGACTCTAGCAGCTGCGTCTTTCGCCCCTCCACATACACATGTAAACACGCGTATCGATGTGTCTGTGTACTGGTCCGGTGTCCGAATGTGACGGCGCTGACGCCTGCGGCAGGTGCAAGAACGGGCCGGCGTGTCCAAGCGGCCTGGACGCTACCCAGCGACCAGCGACATGCTGTAGTGTCTGTAACATTATCGATATGTCAACATTAGCATACCGATGTTGACAAACCTTACTACTTTGTACGAGTATTTGTCATAATCGCGTCAGCGGGAGGCATGTGCAGTTTTAAATGAAGTATTGACTATTGACTCAAAAATACCGATAAACATTTCGTTGCCTTTTTTACCTTGTTTGGTTCTTCATTATTGCAATTTGCAACAGAAAAGAATGAAATTTTCCCGGTGTTTTAGGAGCAATCTGCGCAGTTCACTTTGGCTTGCCTGATGTATCTCTCCCATTATTTCATCATCACGTATCAGTCAGCAGTGCTGCCTTTGACTGGCATCGCCCGCGGACGCGGTCCCAGTCGGCTCTCGGCTGGGAGTGGGCCGAAGTCCGGCCGGCCGGGCGGGGTCCGTCTGTCTGTCTCTCACGTGGCCGGCGCGTGCCAAGCCGGCGCGGTGAAACATTACCGACCAACCACCGGCAGGGCAGGCAGGCAGGCAGGCGGACCCGGCGACCCGCGCCCACCGGAGCCCCCCCCCCCTCGGCTGGACGCTGTCCCCGGCTGCGGGGGGGGGGGGGGGTCGCGGCGCCGGGCGCTGGACCGGGCCGGTTCACCGACCAGTCGTCACCGGTCCGGTCGCCGCTCCATTCCCGGCTATTGATCCGCGGCCAAAGCCACAGCCGCCGCACCGGCGCCGACCAGAGTCGGAGCCGGTAAACAGGCGCGCCGAATCGTGCCGCGGCGGCGGCCAGGCGCCTGCCGGCCGGCCGGCGCGTCTCTCACCGAATGCGTAGATGCATGGTCGACCCCGCGGCCGGCGGGGCTGGGCGGGGACGCGGGTGGGGCGGTCACGTGCGCAGCTGGTGGCTCGAATGTGGGTCAGACGGTCTGGTCAGGAGCGCCGGAGGCCGTGCGGCGCACACGCATTGCGTCAGGTGCGTGGGCCGTGACCAGCGCGGCGCGGCGGCCAGGTGAGCCAGTATCCACGGACCTTAGAATGCGCGCCGAACTGCCGATGGCAGATGAAAGCAGGAGATCCTGATGAGAGATCTCGCGAGGCTTATGGCCCGATTTCACACAAATAATTTGGCTGAAATGTGACAAACCGTGGCGCTAGGAATATTTTGCAATATAAATGGGAAGATTTTACCATATTATCATTTTTATCCTTGCTCTGAAGCTATGTAATTCAACGTCCTCACTTTCAGTTTCTTTCCACCTCAGAGTTACAGCCTATTTTTCGAATTTCGAGCCAGTTCCATTTCAGCGTTTAGGCTTGTGGAATGTCACCACTCATCGTGAAAAGGCCCTCGCCTGTTTGGTGAGTTGATAGCGGCAGATATCCCTCCCGATGATATTTCATAGCGATTTGTTGCTGTCACAAGAATTGGAAAAAAATGGTTGATCAAATTGATAATCGTAATACCTAATCGTAACGATTATCGATAATCGCTGACGATAATCATACTTCAGAGAACAGAACCTGTATCGCGGACGTCATTGACTTAGCGCGAATTTTCACGAAGCTTGCTCACCTAAGCTCAGAGTGCCGGTCTTACCCTCAGACAGACCAACCATTTACCCTTTTTTGTCGCTGCTTGTTCCATAAAGATGTCGGCGCATCAAAGTTCATATTGCTTCTGAGCTTGCTCTCGGTGCTCTTGCTTCCGGCTTTTAACCGGTGCATTCGTTCGGACTGTGACTAAGGACCGACTCGCATTATGACGAACTGTGGATGACTAAATTGTTAACCGTGGATCTTTGACCGTGAACTGTGGACTGTGGAATGTGGATCGTTAACCATGGACTGGGGATTGTCGACCTTGGTCGTGAACTATGACGAGAGCGGACCGAGTGAGCCATCAGCGGGGGGGGGGGGGGCGTGTTTTTCGTGACTCGGGGGTGGCTGACCCGCAGGGCAGGGCCCAACCTTCCGTCTCTCCGAGCCTGGAACAGTCGTGACCGGCTGTTTGGCGGCGGGTAACCGCAGATAACCGACAGATAAGGGCCGGGCACTGTGTTTGCGCCGTGGAGATACACTTTCAGACCTTTGTGCCGATGTGGCAAGGCCAGATAGCCACGGTCCATGCCGCTAGTTTTACAGTCGGAACTGCCTTTGTTGCCTTAGTTCTGTCTAGCACGTTGTGTGGTGACAAACTCTGATTGACGAGCTCTGTGCTGTGGCTGTCTTTGGTGGACTGCTCCAGCTAAAATGAGAAATGGAAAAATGTCCGTGGGAGGTAATTGTCGGTGTGGCGATGCTTGCTTAGAACGGGGTTGTATCTTTTGGTGGCTTGCAGTATCTGGTGTTATTTGTATGCAAGTGAACTGGAAGGTTTTTGGTTAAGTTTTCCTTATATTTAAAGGTTTCTTCCGAAAGAGCCGTCTGGTATGTGATGTTCGGATTTGGACGATAGATATATCAGTGATCTTAGTAATGTTGCCTGTGCTTCCTTGGAAGACGCTGTTTATTGAACCGCCAATCGCCAAGCTTTGTAAGCTGTCTCCATTGTAGGCTGTCGTATGGGAATGGCCGTGTCTTCCATTGCACGACCATTCACATAAGTGGCATCACTAAGGCAGCACTCCAGCTGGCTGGCATTGCATTTGCAGCCTGACAATGCAGCGGAATTGAGGTCACGTGACGCCTTTGACATGGTGTTTAGGGCAGACCTTGACACGTGTTTTGCTCCTGGATACATGTTGCGTAGATTGGTGGGTGACTCAACTTGGCCGTCAGCTGGTGTTATGTAAAACTGCTGCATGTGGAGTGATTCATTTACGCACAGGTGGCGGCGGCCAATCGTTCTTTATTTTGAGCGTGTGTTGTGCTTCTTTGTTTGTGTAGCGTAACGTCACCCCTTCACACTATTACGTCATTATACCGCACCACCATCGCCCATGCTAGCCTTGCCACCTGTGTCCTTCTTTCCACAGTCTGCTGACCTGTTAGCCCGTCTGCTGCCTGCGTTTCAGACCCAGCTGAAGTCTTGGTCGGACCTGGCGTTGTGTCCCTGAGTCGGTAGCTGGCTGACCTTTTGCCCCTGTGCTCTATGTTTCAGACTAGCTGAGGTCTTGGCCGGACCTGGCGCTGTGTCCCAGGGTCGGCAGCCGGCTGACCTGTTGTTCCTCTGCCCTGTGTTTCAGACCAGCTGAGGTCCCGGCCGGGCCCGGCGCTGCCCCGGCAGACCGCCACTGGAGGCGCCGGCCGTGTCGAGCCCCCCTCCCCCGAAGACTCGCCGCCACCGGCCGCCGGAGACATCTCATCGCTGTCCTCGCGGTCTCCGAGCAACGGGCCCGACCTGCAGACCATGCAGGCGCGCACCCCGTGCCGGTTCCGGGATGCCACCCAGGCGCCGCTGCGGAAACTCACACTCGACCTCATCAAGACGTACAAACACATCAATGAGGTGAGGAAGCGGTGGCTGAACGGCTGTGTGCGTGAGAGGCTGGTCAGGGACGATGCGTCAGATGGAAAAGTCAATGCCTCCCGCACGTAAATAGACGTTTGGACGAGAGGAGGAACTAGCACCTTAGATGACAAATCATATCGTATATGATATTATGATGCTACAAACTATGTCGGGGTGATAGCGACTGGTCGCTGGATGACGGGACACCCCCTGTGTCACACCTATTACGTCTGCTCACCGTGACTCCCCTGTTGCTATGCGGGAGAGCGGCCGTCTGGTCAGAGGGGACGGTCTCGGAAGGACCGGCAGAGGGAGGGAAATCGGAGCCGGCCGGCCGGCCGACGACGCCAGCTGGCCAGACGCGTCAGCGCGGCGCCGGTGCACCTGGCTGGCCGGACGAGTCCATTAATCATCCGGTGGGGGAGGCCGGCGCGAGCGGCCCGACCGCTAGCCGCGAGACGCCGGCGACGAACGGGGCGGGGACGCCGGTCGGGCGGCGTCGGTCAGGTGGCGCGCTCGGACCGCTGGCGGCTGACGGGCGATGGCCGGCCGGCTGCGTCATGAGACAGATCGGCACCGATACCCACTGACCCGATCATGGCGTCTCCCTCATTTATCCAAACGGGGCTGAGTGAAGGGTTTTTGTTTTCGTCTCACTGCCGTGCTACAAGCCTGTGTTGTTTGTTGCGGCTCGGCACGGACGTCCGCCAGTTTTCGAAGCCCTGTTTACCGGGACGGCTGAAGGCGCTCGCTCGTGGCGGCGCCGCTCGGCCTTGGATGTCGGCTTTTTTGGCCGCGGCTGTTGCCGTGCGCTGGTCACGCAGGCCGACACTACTGCGCAGTAACGGGCCGATCGGACCGGGCCGCCGCCGGCGGAGGCGCCACGCGGCGGGCTGGGAGGGCTGGCCGGCGATGATGTGATGATTGCCCTTGATTATCTACATTGCCTGTATTTTAGCCACCTTGGTGATTTAAAGTGACACGCAACAGCTTCAGATATACATGGGTGGCGTCTATGAGTTGTTCGTGTGAGAAAACACAACTGTCTAAGTGGCCTTTTCAAGCCCTAAGGCTGTCTTTGTAAGCCCTGAGTCAAAACTAACAAATTTCTGCATGGTTTGCGTTCCTCGTGCCATTCCTGACCCTCTGAAGCTCCGGCGTCGACCAGGAAATAGCTTCATGTAGCGTGACGCAAGGATGAATGTGAGCCGTATAAGTGTGAGTCAGCTTCAGCGTCGAGCTGTGAACCGGTGACCCAGCGTTGGTCATAGCCGCCGGCATCTGATGCCGGCAGGGCCGAGTTACACCCTGCAAGTAGCTGGGCCGGGCATGACGTATGGGAGCATGATTGGCTGGTTATGATGTGAGATATATGACGTATGACAGCGCGATTGGTTGGTGATGATGTGAGATGTGTGTCTGCGAGCTGTGGATGTGCCAGGAGGGGGATTGTGAGTTTAGTTGGCTGGAAGGTGTAGAGGAGAGCAGAATAGATCTTCTTCTTGTGCTGGACGGTGACTTTTAAGTCAGTACGACAAGCTATTTCGGCCTTCTCGACTAAGTGTTGTGATTATGTCTGACGTAGAAGAGGGCAGTGGTGCACCGGTAGCTGGTACCAATACCATGGAACCAGAGTTTCCTGCGCCTGCATTCGATCTGCGGGCAATACCGGAGTTCGACGGCAGCGGTGACGTCGTCAGATGGCTGGAGCAGGCGACACAGCTGTGTGCCCTGCGTCGTGTGTCACTGGCCGCTGTCATACCCACACGCCTGAGGGACCAGGCGTACGAGGTGTGGGCCACCCTCTCCTCCACCGAGCAGCGGGATGCTGCAATCGTCCGCCAAAAACTGCATCGTGCATTTGCATTGGGACCCGACGCGGCTATGTATGAGCTGTATCACCGCCGTCTACAACCGGGCGAGTCTGTGGATGCCTACCTGGGATCAGTCAAGCGGCTGATATCCCTCATAGGTTCAGTGTCCAACGAAGTGATGACGACGCACTTCCTGCAAGGTCTGCCGCCGGAGGTGCGGCTAACAGTACGTAACAGTGCTGGAGATGAAACTCTCTCCTTGGAGCGAGCCGTCGCCGTCGCTAGGTCAACGTTGGCGATGGCGGCCAGGGAGAGAGCGACTGCATCGGTGGCTGTCGTCCAGCCGCCGCCATCATATGTACAGCAGCAGCGGGGAGCCAGAGGGACGGGTCGCCGTCCACCACTGCGGTGTTGGACCTGTAACCAGGTAGGCCACATCGCCCGGCTCTGCCCAAACGGGCACGGCGACGGCGCTACATCAGCGCCACGGGCTCCGCCGTCGCCAGCTGCCGCAGTGACCCAAGAGCCCCCATCATCGACATCAATGTAAATGGGCGCAAGTGCCGAGCACTCGTCGACACAGGGTGCAGCGAGACAGTGGTGTGGAAGGGCATGGTGTCCTGCTGGGAGCGGAGTGACGCCAGCTTGGTCGCTGTCAACGACAGCCCGGTGCTGTGCTGTGGGCGGGCTGTGGTCAGCCTTGGAGTGCGCGGGGCGACAGTGAGTGTGCGGGCGGTCGTCGTACCGGCCCGGTTGCTGGGCGTAGACGTGTTGCTGGGCATGACCGGCATTGACGCCCTGCAGGGCGTGAGTGTAAGTGGAGGATCCGTTCGCTTCGGGAGCGACAACCCAGTTGCGAGCGTCGACACGGCTGCTGTGGTGCAGCGTGAGGCCCCGCCGGAGCGGGAGGTGTGTCGAGCGGTCGACACGGCTGCTGTGGTGCAGCGTGAGGCCCCGCCGGAGCGGGAGGTGTGTCGAGCGGTTGACACGGCTGCTGTGGTGCAGCGTGAGGTCCCGCCGGAGCGGGAGGTGTGTCGAGCGGTCGACACGGCTACTGTGGTGCAGCGTGAGGCCCCGCCGGAGCGGGAGGTGTGTCGTGCGGTCGACACGGCTGCTGTGGTGCAGCGTGAGGTCCCGCCGGAGCGGGAGGTGTGTCGAGCGGTCGACACGGAGCCGGAGCTAAGGATTGACGAGACTGACTTCACGGCTGTGTTCGATGATGTGTGGACAGTCCGTTGGAAATGGGCCGGTGGCGTGGCTCCGCCCCCGCTTGGAAACTCGATAGCTCAGTACGGTGTGCCGAGTTGTGCGCGTGAAAAATTCGATGCAGAGCTGGCGCTGTGGATTAGTGAGGGCTGGCTGCGCGAATACGATGAGACGATGTACGGTCCCGCACAGGGATTGATCCCGTTGATGGTGGTTACTCAGGCAGCGAAGGACAAGGTGCGGCCGGTGTTAGATTATCGGGAACTCAATCAACACCTGACACGTCACACAGCCGACGCTGACGTCTGCGTGGAAGAGCTGCGAAGGTGGCGACGTCACGGACGCCGGGTCGCTGTCCTGGATCTGAAGAAAGCTTTTCTTCAGCTTCGTGTGGACCCGGCCCTGTGGCCGTACCAGACAGTCATCGTGCAAGGGCGGCGGTACTGCCTGACCAGGGTCGGCTTTGGGCTCAGTATCGCGCCTCTGATCATGAAGGCTGTGGTCAGGAAGGTGCTCGCACAGAGCCCCGGGTTGGCAGAGGCAGTGCTGCCTTACGCCGATGATCTGCTGGTCAACGAAGCGGTGGTCTCGGCTGATGAGGTTGCCGAGCACTTCGCTCGATTCGGGCTCACATGCAAGCCGCCGGAGCGGGTCGCGACCGGTGCACGTATGCTGGGCCTTCGTGTCGCCGAGAGCGACGGGCCGGCACTCCAGTGGAGTAGGGACGGGGAGTCACCAACGCAGGCTCCACCCGTGCTAACGCGGCGATCTGTCTTCGCGTGGGCCGGCCAGCTGACATCTCATGTGCCGGTCGCAGGCTGGCTGCGGCCGGCCGCTGCATGGATGAAGCGGACTGCCAACCGCCTCAGCCCGGACTGGGACACTCCGATCGTCAGCGAGGAGCTACAACGTGAGGTGGATGAGGTGTCACGGCGGTTTCGAGCATGTGACCCGGCACGCGGCCAGTGGTGTGTGACAGGGACGAGCGTCGTGGTGTGGACCGACGCCAGCTCCATCGCCCGCGGTGTCGTGCTCACTGACCCTGACACGGGCGCCATCATCGAGGACGCGTCCTGGCTGCGTGCCGAATCGGAGAGGGACGTGCACATCAATATCTCAGAACTGGATGCCGCTCTCAACGGTGTCAACCTGGCGGTAGCATGGGGCTTCCGTCGCCTGACGCTCCGGACAGACTCGGTGACGGTGCACCGCTGGCTGAGTGACGCGCTGTCGGGTAAGGCAAGGCTGCGAACCAAGGCGCAGTCCGAAATGCTTATCCGACGGCGCGTGGCTGTTTTCCGTCAGCTCGTCATCGAGTACGAACTGGAGGTCACTATCGAGCTGGTCGCGTCAGCGGTCAACCGTGCTGATGAGGTGACGCGGGTGCCCAACGCCTGGCTGCAGACTGCCGACCAGCCAACCACTGATTCGTCCAAAGCACAACCGGTGGCTGTCGCTGCCATCACAAGTGCCTCAGCGAGTGACATCCGCACCATCCACGAAAACATCGGTCACCAAGGAGTGAGGAGAACGTTGTGGTACGCCCGACGTGAGCTGGGGGTGAGGCGGGTGTCAAAACCAGCTGTGCGAGACGTGGTCAGACGATGCCAGACGTGTGCCTCGATTGACCCGGCGCCGGAGCGCTGGCCCGGTGGGTCACTCGGAACAGAACGCACGTGGGATCGCCTGGCCATGGATGTCACCCACGTGCACGGCCACCCATACCTGACGCTGGTGGACTGCGGGCCGTCGAGGTACGCCATATGGCGACGGCTTCGCCGGGCAGGAGCTCTGGAGATTGTGAGTGAGCTGGAGAACGTGTTTCTAGAGCGTGGAGCCCCGGCGGAAATACTCACGGACAATGCGACAGAGTTCCGTGGCCGGGTCATGTTAGCGTTCGCGGCTCGCTGGGACGTATCCATCCGGTTCCGCGCTGCCTACGAGCCCGGCGGGAACGGCATCGTCGAGCGCCATCAT